CTATACTGATTACTTCAGGGCACTGAAACTAAACCTGTGTAGTGGCAGAGGTGTGCATCAACTTCTGACTACTGACAATCACTGCTAACCTTTATTTCTAACCCACCTGTGGCATAGAATGAGAATTTCTAAAATGCTAACTTTCAAACTTAGTCGTTGCTTAAGTAAAAGAAGTTCTTTTAAAAATAGCCTAATTAAAGAGATCAGTTGTAAAATCTGATATTTTAAGGCCCTGAGAATTTTTTTTAAATATTTCTTAGTTTTTTGTTTTATATTATTGGGGGGAGGGTTGCTTTTTACAAATAAATCTGAAACAATTCTGTCTTGTTTTATATTTTGGTGGGGAGATGGAGAAATTAAAATGTTTTTAAAGAAACAAATTATTTAAAATGTAGAATGGAACAAAAGATTCTGTTTTTATTTAAACACTATTCAGCGTGACAGTGGCCTGTTGTATATATTTTTTATTTTATATTTTTCATATTTGTTTATTTAGCTGTTTTATTTGCTCCCCTTTACAAAATGTCTTTAAAATTATATCTAGGAAGAGACCTCGTTGAGGGAGTGGCTTAAGGCAATAGTAAATTGAAAGACTAAGTGAAAGACTTAGCATATTAAGTGAAAGACTCCTTAATTAATGGTGAAATCCTTAGCCCTTCTTCTGATCAGCTCCCAGGTCACTGGCAGCCAGCATTGTATCCTCCGGGCAGGAGATTGGAGGACTCCTTTCTGGAGAAAGTCGCTAGACTAAGAAAAAACGATGGAGACTGACAGGAACACCCAGTCACTGATGACCCTTCAGGGAAGTTGCCCACATGGAACTTCCACTAGTATTGTAGCATGGAAGAAAGCCCGTCACACGAAACACAGAAACCAAAACAAGCAGGTAGGCCGAGAAAGATACAGAAGAAACAGAGACAAGGTAATGAGCTGAAGAAAACTTGAAAAAACACCATGACTACCATTCACATTCACAGAGAAGTAAAAGAAAGTTTTGCACCCATGAAATGAGAACAAGGAAAAATTCTTACAAAGTGAACCTATATATCAGAAAACAATAACTCAGCAAGGATGGAAAGGGAGATAGGAGGAAATCACACAGAAAATAGAACAAATAAAGAAGGGAAAATGTGAGAACAAGTGAAGAAAATCAAATGATCAGTTCACAAACTTTTTGCCTAATAGGAATTACAAAAAGAGAAGACAGAAAATAGAGAAAGAAGAAAATAATAGAAAGTTTCCCAGAACTGCAGGACATGAGTTTTTCTGATTGAAAGTGCCTACTGAGCACCTACTATAATAAATAGAAAACCAAAATACACACACACTAAAGCCACAACTGTCCTGATTTTTCTACCTTTTTTACTGTTCCTTTTCAGTTTTCTTCTCAGTATCTCTTCCTCATTCCAACCTTAATGTTGTTCCTCTGCTTTCTGCCCTTGACTTTCACATTTTCTTACTCCCTCCTATGACATGCAGACCCGTAACTTTAACCACATCTATGTCGGTCCCCCCAGATGGGTAAATCCAGTTGGCTCTTTCTCTTGAACTCCATACCTGTTTCCTGAAACCTCCCCTTCCCTGCCTTCTCACATTCCAGTACCTACCAGTCCTCAAACATGTCAAAAAGTGAATTTATTTTCTTATCTCTCTCTTCTTTTTGTGCCTGCTAATGAGCCCATTTCTCTTTCTGTATTCCTTACTATAGTAACTGAAAATATCATCCTGCAGTGTTACAAATTATGAATTCAGGTGTCAGGGGATCACTCTGGGCCTTCCAGCCTCCTCACCCCACATTTAATCAGTATGTTCTCTCAGCGGTTCTTGGTGCTAAGCCTCCTGTGTCCTGAGTTCCCAGGCAGCCCTTCTGTTCCTTCATTCTTATACAGAAAAGTCACTGGACATTTGAGGAGGAAATTTGTAGCATAAAAAAGGTGAACAAATATAAACCAATACAAAAATTTATCCTAAGGATAACTTCAAAACCTTAAATTAGTAGCCTCAGATTTGAGATGATATTGTGCATATAAATAAATCAGAGTACTATAATAAAGGACTAGAGAACAAGAAGGAAGTTTTAGAAACTAAAAATATGACTGACAAAATACAGTAATTCTATAGAAAGGTTGAAAGGTAAAATGGAGGACAATTCCAAGAGTTTAGAAGGTAAAAATACCAAAGAAGGAAAATATGAGAATAAAAGACATAAATGTCTAAGTCCTACATTTTGCTAACAGGAATTCCAGGAAAAGAGAATAGAAAGAGGAAGAAACCATTAACAAACAGTAGAAATGTCCAGGAGCTAAAGATAATATTCAAAATGAAGGTATCCTGGGTGTTGAGCAGAAGGGATATAGATATAGATGATACAGATATGAGTATATAGTATAGATACTGCAAAATTTTGGAACACTAGGGACAAAAAGAAGGCCCTGAAAGCCTCTAAAATAAAGAAAAAGCTTCAGTCTATGAAGGAACATCCTTATCCTCATTGAATGTTGAAAGAAGTAGAGCAGTGTCCTTAAATATTCAGGAAGTGTATGCCCAGCGAAGCTACTACTAAGGACAAAGGCAAAATTGGCTCAACCCCAGACACGCAAAGACTCAGAAAGTTGGCCTCCATGTTACTCATCATTGTTTAGCTAGAAATAGCTGATAGAACCTGTTCATGTTTGCTGAATATTTGCTAGTATTTTCAGATTCCTGCAAGCCCTCTTTGCAGTCCTATTATATAGAATAGAACATTTTCTTTACACTTTTATGTTTCTTTTTTTACTTTTTTAAACCCTAAAGTCTACTAAAGTCTGCTAATTTCTCTGATTTGTTAGAATTTCACTTGTTCGTTGTTTTAAAAATTCTGTCTCGTTACTTCATTCTTTATGTTTTTATCTAAATTTTGTAACTTCCACAACTAATTAGATAACTTTTTTATAGTACATGAGAATGTGTCAATAACAGCCATATAAAGGTAGTACATTATTGGGAGAAGGGCCTTTTTCTACAATATTATGGTTTAATGTTACTAACATGGGAACAACCTAAATCTTCCTTCCTTCTTCCCTCTCTCCCTTTCTTCCATTCTTTGGGGGAGAGGGGTCATTTTAACCATTTTAAGTACAGAATTCAGTGGTAATGCCACTTAATATTACACTAACAATATTGAAAATAGTGCAACCATCACTATTTTCATTTTTTTTCATTATCCCAAACAGAAATTCTGTAACTAGTTAGCAATAATAACTCCCCCTTGCCCTTCCCCACAGCCCCCCATAACCACTAATCCCTGTCTCTAAGAACTTGCCAAATCTTTATATTTTATTTAGCACTGCTAAGAATTACCGATTAGATTTTTAAAATATCTCTTTACAATATATTATATTTTTGCTGTCATTATCTATAGTGTCTGGCCTTGTTATTTATTGCTACTAACAGATTACCCTAAAACTTAATTTCTTCAAACAACAACAGTCATGTGTGACTTCTGATGACTTTTCTGGGTGAGGAATTCAGCCATTGTATAATGAAGATGTCTGTGCTGCACAGCGCCTGGGGCCTTTGCTGGAAGACCCCAAGGCTGAGATCTGGAAGCTTCTGATGTCTCATTCACTCTCATGTCTGGGAACTGATGCTGGCTGTAACCCAGGGGCCCACCTGGATTGTCAACTTAAACATCCACACGTGGTTTCTCCATGTGGCCTGCACTTCTCCACAACATGGAGGCTAGGCTTCAAAGGCAAGCATCCCAAGACATAAAAAGAAAGAGAGATAATATGCCAGCAGCCAAATGGAGGCCATATTACCTTCAACAGCCTAGCCTCCAAAGTCACGTAGTGTTACTTTTGCTGCACTCATTGGATTAAGACAGCTGCAAAGGTGCACCCAGTTTCAAGTGAGAGGAGTGCGGACCCCACCTCTAAATGTAGGTGTGTCAGTGTTACATTGGGAGAAGAGCCTGTGAAATGGGATAAAAACTGGTGTAACCATCTTTGGAAATGCAAACTGCTACAGTGTGTGTTTACCACTGTACCCAGTTTTGGCCCTAGCAGGACTTCTCCAAAATTAATTCCTTTAATTTACCTTAACTGCTAGATAATCAATTGTGAACATAGTTATCCTACTTTCTCTAATTAGGAGGTTGAGATTTGCACATAGAAAAGACTAAAAGCATGAGATAATGATATAGCTTTTAGAAAAGAAAAATATATTTTTTGAAAACACAATAATTATTAAAATGTGTCTGTTAAAGTAGCTGTTTCAGCTTAACACTGTTTTTAAAATTCTCCCTGGTCGAGAAAAACATTTTAATGTGAAAAACATATTGTTTCTGAACATCGTGTTTATAGTTTGGGTATGAAAACACTTTTCTAGGTCCTTTTTTTTAGAAAACTTTATTTATTTTTAGAGTTAGGGGGAGGGAGAGAAGCATCAATCAGTTGCCTCTCACACACATGCCCCCAACCAGGGGTGGGGCCTGCTACCCAGGCACATGCCCTGACCAGGGATTGAACCAGCAACCCTTGCCTTTGTGACACTCATGACACTCAACCAACTGAGCCACACCACCATGCACAGAATCCTTTCCCTGATACACATATGGAACAGATGATTTATGAAGTACATTTTAATTATATAACTTCTATAGCCAATTTCCCTAACTTCTCTAAAGCTTTAGTGCCCTCATCTGAAATACAGGAAGAATAATAGTACCTGCCTCACAGAGCAGGCATGAGGATTAAATGAGTTAATATACATAAAGTGCTTGGCACATTGTAAGTGCTAAAAAAATGCTAGACACAGGAAGTATGTGGATGTGTTAATGGTATTCTGCATACATATATATATGTATGTATATATATGAGTCATAGCAAATGGAATTCATTTCCAACAAGGTGTTCAAAAGATAAAAGATATGGTTAATGAAAGCAGTATAGTAAGCTGTTTCATTTAGGAAAAACATGTTAGATTGCTTGTTAATTTGATAATTTGTTTGTTTTTCCTAGTTTGAAAAAGAAAAACAGCATGATATTCGATCATTCTTTTTGCCAAAACCTAAAAATAGTCAGTCGGTGACCTCCTGTGATGAATCAAGGATATTCCATGAAAAAAGTATTGCAGTGCCAACGGCCCCTGGAAAAGTATTTGCAAGAGATATCATTGATTATGAAAACAATTTTGAACCTGAAGCTAAAAGATTGAAGTCAGTCACCACTGGTGACCACTGCAGTGCCTCAGAGGAGAAGCCGCGCCGGCCCAGAGAAACCGCCCCACCCCTTCCTGGAGAGGACTGGCAGTGCGGGTTCTGCACCTATAGCAATAACTCATTGTTACCTTGCTGTGAAATGTGTGGGCATCCTCAAGGCAGTGCTGGTGAGTACACAGAGGGGCTGGCCGTGGCATCTGCCGATAACCTATAGTTTTAGAGATGACTGCTATTACCAGAGGTTAGTGTGACTCTTGGCACTGACTAGCTTTTAAGCTAGTTTCACAGACTGAAGTGAATTCAACCCCTTGTGGAGTGTGAAAAGCTCCTGGTTCTGTCAAGAATGCATATCCCCCAGCATCTGTAACATGGCATTCATTTGGCACAAATGGACATTTCTGATTATACCAGCAAGTTGTGAATTTGGGGGGCAGGAATAGAAGCCATGTTGCTATAGCAGCAAAAATGCCTTATAGTCATAGACCTGCCGTTTTCTTTACTCTGTAGATAATACTTCACTTTTTTTCATTTTTTAAATTTTTATTGTTGACACTATTACAGATGTCCCCATTTCCTCCCCTTTTCCCTCCTTCCTCCAGGGCCTTCCCCCTTCCCTCTGGCTGTTACCACACTGTTGTCTATGCCTGTGTTACGTATGTATGTTTGGAGTTAACCCCTTCACCTTCTTTTACCCAGTCCCCCTGCACCCCCTACCCTCTGATACTTGTTTTTAAGGAATTATAGATTACTTTTGTTAAAATAGCAAAATAATCCACTGTAGCTTCTCTGCCTAGTAAAATACACATCATGCCATGTTTCTTGCATGGCAGTCGTAAAAATTCCAGTAGACCTTCCTTTAACAATCAACTTAATATCTGTCTATGAGCTTATTCTTTTTAAAAACATGCTCTTTTAAAAGTAGAAATCATAAACATACCTCAGAGTATGTTTCCATAGCATAAGATGCCATTTTCTGATGTTTTATTTTTGAAATGATTATTAATACCTGTGGTTGTCTTAGGCAAATGGTCATTAGTATTTTGTTTCTTTCCAGTTCTCCAGTGTTAAAGATCATTTTTATAGTAACTTGAAGGGCTAAGTTGACAATTTTGGAGACTGGAGGAAGTCATTTTCTTTTATCAATTTTAACAATTGTTTACATTTACTTTTCCAGTATATATGAATTCTTCAGAGTATTAACATTAATGAAGACTCAGATCTTAACTAAGATGTACACTCTGAAACTTCAGTTTCTTTTTGCCTTTCTTGCTTCTCTCTGTCTTAGTTTTGATTTGAAATAAAATGTAATCAGTAGCTGAGTCTTTCCTCTTTCAATTCTGGGTTTTCCCTACCAAAACTGATGAGTCTGCCCTTTGGGTGGTTATATTCGTAATGTGGATTCCTGTTGTTCATGAACCTAATTGGAACCACAAGCTTATTCCATATAATCTCTCTCATAATTCATATTATCTCATTCAATTTCCAACTGCTACAGGCAATAAAAATAAAATATTTCATGACAACAAAATAATGTCAGTTCACATTAATTATATAAGTTGAGCAGTTTAACAACAAAAATTATAGTTTAATAGCATTTTACATATATAGTTCTGATTTTTCTTTGTAATTATACCAAGAGTAACAACAAAAGTTTTTAGACCCATGATTTAATAGGCAGACTCTCAAGCAATCTAAACAAAAACAAAACACCTTTTGTGAACATGGAACTGTAATTAAAGAGAAATATATATTCTAAGTAACAGATATTACTGTATATAAAAATTATTAGATTAATATTACTGTAATTTGGCATAGTGACTTCAGTCTTGATTTGGATATACCCCAAAATTATTGAATTGCAGAATTAATTCATATCCACCTAAATTTTTAAGTTCTTGTCTGCTATATAATACTTTGAGGAAATGCTAGAATCCAGAAAATTAAAGGAGCAATATTAGGCTATTACAGTCCTATAAAGTTTGCTGATGTAGGCTGTAGTACATTAGATAAAATTTTGTATAATATATTAATGAACACTAATACTTGTCAATATGTAACATTTATGCATTGTTCTTAAAATTTATAGTTTATGCTTGATATCTCACCATTCATACACCCAAATTTATATCTCTCACTTGAGTAGAGACTGCATATATCCAGTGATCAATGTAACATCTCCGCCTGGATGTCCAGTGGATACCTCAAGGTTAACATATCCAAAGTGGTATTCTTGATTCACCATCAACATTCAAATCTTCTCTTCCCCTGTCTTCCCTACATCATGCTGAAAACCTAGTCAGCATTCTGGGTTCCTTAATTCCACCCAGAATTAAGTAGAACTTAATCCATCAAGTTCTACTGGTGTAACCTCTAATACACACACACACACACACATATACACATACATACATACATATATATATTTAGTTATTTTGATTTTAGCCAATTTAGATTTATTGCTACCATGCCACTAGAAGCCACTATTTTCTCCCTCCCAGACCTTAGTAGCCTCTCTGTTGTTCTCCCTTGCGGCTCTTCTCTATACAGCAGCCAAAGTGATCCTTTAAAAACATGTCAATGTATTACTTTATCTAAAACCCTCTAGTGGTTTCTAGCTACATTTAGAATCTTATCCAAGAATATAGGCCCAGGGACCAGGCTTCCTAGATTCTGGGACAGCTCTCAGGTCAAATGCAACCCTTCAAGAGCTTGACCCTGCTAACTTTTGCCCCACACCCCCATCCCCTTACTTACAAAACCCTGCTTTAATTTCTTTATCTAAAAAGGCCCTAGTTCAGTTGTTTATGTTTAGTGTCTGTCTCCACTACGTAGAATGGAATCTCCAGGAAGCAGAAGCTTACCTTCTTGTTCCTTGCTTCCTCTCTAGCACCTAGAATAGTACTTGGTGTTTAGTGACTTCCAATAAATTATTTCCAGAGAATGAACAAACGTTGTTGACTTTGTTTCTTACTGTAAGAACTACTATGACTTTCCTTTTTAAACTGGCTTAGAGTAAATAATGAATTTAAATTTATGTGTAAATTATTTGTTTGACTTTTATAATTCTATGAACAGATGGCCTCAACTATACCCAGGATAAAAACATAAATGAGAAAGATGACTCTCAGAAAGGCACATCCAGAAAAGTTTGGACTGATTCTGAATGTGAGAAACAAATTCTTGCACCATCAGAAACTGAACCGTTGGCTGAGAGCAAGGAAAAAATATCAAAAATTGAGAGGGAAGATGGACATATGCCCCAGTCAGGCAATGGTAAGACTTGCTCCCATTTCCAGTGTCCAGATAATAACCATGTCCTTAGACACATAACACAATTAGTAGATTTGTGATTACTACCTGGTGCTGAGTTCCTTGTATTCTCATTTATAGTAAAAATATAAACCACATACTTAAACACCAGGTCGCTGGGAGAGCAGAGCCATTGGCATTCAGACATCACACAGAAAGCTGAACCAATGCACGGCCGCACGTGCTGCCCCAGGCCTGGGCCCAGACTCATCCACACCTGGACCATTCACACAGTGAGGGGGTGGTTTTGTTATATGGGAGGCTCTTTGGGCCAAATAGTAAGGCTGACAGATTATTAACAGCTACTTAGCAGATAAGTAATTCTTTACATATGAATTTGTTTTAAATGTGTACAACGAATTGGCATACTTTAAATATAGGGTTGGGATATTTATTAAAGAAAATGCTTTTAAGGAACATAATTTCAAGGCTATATGAATTAAGTGATCACTTTATTACATACATAAATGTTGGATGACTATGTTGCACACCTGAGACTGATATAATATTGTATATAACTATATTCTAATCTTTAAAAAAGACTGTATGAATCACTACTGCACTTGGAGCCAACCATGTAGTGTTTCAGATTTATTTACTTTTTGTTGATTCCACTTATTATTTATAGCAGTGATGGTTGGCAAATACCAGCCTATATGTCATACATCACTATCTTTGAGGGCCAGCTGGCAAGAGATTGTGAATACTTTGAGGTTATTTCTTTGTTATTCAGTTAGTGACCATAGTAACTCACTGACCGATGTTCTCATCACAACAACCCCCAAATTGTTGGGATGGACCGTTGAAGTTTTTCTTCCAAATTAGTCACTTTAAAACATGGATAGGATGTGAAAGCAGATATATAACTTTATTTATTTTTAAATATATTTTATTGATTATGCCATTACAGTTCTATTTTCCCCCTTCATTCCCCTCCATCCTGCATACCCCTCCCCCACCATTCCCCCCTTTAGTTTATAACCACGTGTCTCAAGTTCTTTAGATTCTATATTTCCCATACTATTCTTGCCCTCCCCCCTATCTATTTTCTACCTACCTTCTATGCTACTTATTTTCTGTACCTTCTCCCCCCTTCTCCTTCTCCCACTCCCCTATTGCTAACCCTCCATGAGATCTTCATTTCTATGGTTCTGCTCCTGATCTAGCTGTCCTTTTAGTTTGCTTTTATTTTAGGTGTGGTTGTTAATAACTGTGAGTTTGCTGTCCTTTCACTGTTGATCTTTTTTATCTTCTTTTTCTTAGATAAGTCCCTTTAACATTTCATATAATAAGGGCTTGGTGATGATGAACTCCTTGAATTTGATCTTATCTGAGAAGCACTTTATCTGTCTTTCCATTCTAAACGAAAGTTTTGCTGGATAGAGTAATCTTGGTTGTAGGTCTTTGGATTTCATGACTTGGAATATCTCTTTCCAGCCCCTTCTTGCCTGTAAAGTCTCTTTTGAGAAATCCACTGACAGTCTGATGAGAACTCCTTTGTAGGTGACTGTCCCCTTAGCTCTTGCTGCTTCTAGGATTCTCTCCTTCATTTTAATCTTGGCTAATGTAATGATGATGTGCCTTGGTGTTTCTTCTTGGGTCCAGCTTCTTTGGGACTCTCTGAGCTTCCTGGATTTCCTGGAAGTCTCTTTGTGATGTCTGCATTGATATCTTCAAAAGTCATCCTCTCTACTCTCAAACCATTAAATTATACTTTATGGGAATAACGAAAATCAACAGATTTGGGATTGTTCCTATAATGCTTTTTATCAAAGAATAACATCTAATCTTTACAAGTCAATGCTTCAACCATAGTTCTTTAAAGACATATTGATTATGAGAGGCACTTATTTTATATACATTAAGAAAGAAAAAGCAAACAAGAAAAAGCACTACCAATTAAAATATGACAATCCTTTTTTAAAGATCTTTGATACTTTTTCTTTTCTTTTGAAAGATTTTATTTATTTTTAGAAAGAGGAGAGGGAAAGAAACATCAATGTGTCAATTGGTTGGCTCTCACACGCTCCCAATTGGGGACCTGGCCTGCAACCCAGGCATGTGCCCTGTCTGGGAATCAAACTGGTGACCCTTTGGTTCTCATTCTGGAGCTCAATCCCCTGAACCACACCAACCAGGGCAAAATATGACAGTATGTTAATGGTAGCCCACACCAAGTCATACCCCCGTCTCTTGCTTTCATATTTCTTTCATTTGTCCTGAGAGATTTAGCAGTTTCTCCTGCCTTCAGTGTCTTTGCTTAGCATATAATAAGCAACCCTTTTGTACATCTCAGTATCCAAATGTAACACAGCTTCCTCTGTTTGCAAGGATCTTCTTTTCTTAGGTCCCGTGAGGCATTTGGTTATTCATTTGCAAGAAAAAATAATTATTCCTTCAATGATACAGGTTTGTTTCTTTTAATATCAGAACGTGTACTCTCCTGTCCTGTACCTAATGTTTCTTTTGGTTTACATGATAAGTTTTCATTTTAATACCAAATCATAGACATTTTGAACACATTTTAAAGGTAATTACAATCAATAAATACAGTAACAACAGTATGTGTACCTCCGATGCGATGTTGAAGTAACAGTATCCAGTCTGACTAAGCTCTTGTGTGGTCAGGCAGTGCCAGCTACTTCACAGCTGCCACCTGGCCAACAATGACTGTAAAAAGCCACTGTTGGTGACTGTAAGACATGCCAGTTTCAGAGACGTAAAAGTACGGGGAAAATCATGTATTTTTGAATTTGTGCAGTCTGGGAATAATTCACACACCAAGTTTATAAAGTAACCAAAGCCTTGATTAGAAAAATAAAAATATGATGATATTGCCAAGTAGTTTGGCAGACAAATCATATGCTTCTAGATTTGGGAAAATTCTTTAAAAGGTCACTGAAGATCTGTGGCCAAGGTGAAGGACACAAGATCTGGAGCCAGATTCCTGGGCTTAAGTCCTCTTCCTAATCTTATGGCCTCAGGCAAGTTAATGTGCCTCAATTCCTCCTCTGTATAATTCACTCCTAATTTCTGGGAGGTGTTAATATATGTGCTTCAACTAGTACCTGGAACATTGTAAGTACTTGGTAAGCATCAACTATAATTACTATTTAGATCAGCATTGATAACCCTATCTTTCCTACAAAAAATACTGGTCAGTGGAACTAAGAAAGGAATAAAGAAAAAGAGATTGTGAGGAAAGATTCTTGTCTACTTGATTCCTTTTTGAATGTGAGGCATGAAGCCGAAGGAAGCCAGGCACTTACGTGGCCCTTGACACAGCTGGGTTGCTGCTGATAATCACAACGGTGCTCATTCAGTCTCCACTTAAATTGGCTCTAGCAAGTCCAGTTTCTAGACTCCATAATTCTTGGGAGCAGGAAATTCTCCCTTATACCTGCCTTGTGACTTCTGAACGAATTCTAAATTTGTTTCTTTCTTTTTGGGTCACTGGCAAAAGTGCAAAGCAGCTGGTGCCCATGTCAGCCCATATGCTCTGACTAGGCCTACCGTTAGTTTTATTTCAAGCCCAGATACATATTCTTTGTCACATATGTCCATATATTTGATAAAACTGTATTTCACTATTCTAACCCACAGAAGATTAAAAGAAACTGTTTTGGATAGAGAGTAGACAAGCTTTCAGCTACTCTTTTATCTTCTTTATTAGAACAGTTGGAGCGTTCTGATACTCTGCCAGTGTATGATACCTTAATGTTTTGTGCGAGTAAGAATACCGACCGGATTCACCTCTACACCAAGGTAAGCATCACACAGATTCTGTTGCTTGAATCATACAAAAAGCTTCTTTTTTTCATGTTTCAACTAAATATTTAATTTTATTAACACAGAGATTGGCATCTACTTCCTTTTCTTCTTAAAGCTAATCATCAAATTCTGATGTTAAAGAGAGGCAAACAGCACAGTAGTTAACAGCACAGACTTCAGAGCCAGAGGGCCTTGGCTCAAATCTGTGCCTCGGTTTCCTCAACTGTAAAATGTGGAGAGGAACTGTTGCAAGGATAAAACGAGCTAATTCCTGCAAAGCACTCAGCACAGTGCCTGGCCACACTGAGCTCGCATTAAATATCAGCTCGCACTGGCAGCATCTTTACAGAAGCCTCAGCCTGCCCTTCATGTTCATTAAACTCTATGAAGATTTAATAATGGGGTCACTCAGATTCCTGCCACAGCCTAGGTTAGTGGAACTCAAACGTATTCATCTCAGGTATCTTTGCACTCCTAAGGTTTGTCGAGGACCCCAAAGAGCTGTTGTTTATGTGGGTTATATTTATTGATATTTACTATCTAAAAATTAAAATGGAAACACTTAAACATATTCATTTATTATCTTATTTAAGAGTAGCTATAATATAAATACACATTTATGTCAATAGCATATCTTCATGAAAAATATTTATATTTTCTAAAACAAACACAGTATTTAATGTTTACATTTTTAGTGATTTTTGCTAAAGGCTCAATAGAAGACAGTGGGATTCTCATGTCTGCCTGCACACGGAAGACCCCACAATACAGTTGTGACAGAATGAGAATGAAAGTGCTGTTTTATTATTATTACAGGAACACTTTTGACTTTGTGGATCCCCTGAAAGGGTCTCAGGGGCCATGTGAGAATCTGGCCTCAGTAAACTGGTATGAATATTTGAGGAAAAACAACTTGTTGAGATTATAAGTACTTTTGTTTAGACTACATTTTCAAAGTTTTAATCTATATAAGTATAGTAAAGTAATATTTGAAACTTTTTAAAGTATATTTTATTAATTATGCTATTACAGTTATCCCATTTTTTTTCTCCCCTTTTTCCCCTCCGTCCTGCAACCCCCTCCCACCACCATTCCCCCCCTTAGTTCATGTCCATGGGTCACACATATAAGTTCCTTGGCTTCTCCCTTCCCTATACTATTCTTAACATATCCCTGTCTGTTTTGTACCTACCACGTATGCTTCTTATTCCCTGCACCTTTCCCCCATCCTCCTCCTCCCCCTCCCTGCTGCTACCCCTCCATGTGATCTCCATTTCTGTGATTCTGTTCCTGTTGTAATTGTTTGCTTAGTTTGTTGTTTTTTTTTTGTTTATTTTAGGTTCAGTTACTGATAGTTGTGGGTATGTTGTTATTTTACTGTTTGTATTTTTTATCTTCTTAGATAAATCTCTATAAAATTTCATATAATGAGGTCTTGGTGATGATGAACTCCTTTAACCTGACCTCATCTGGGAAGCACTTTATCTGCCCTTCCATTCTAAATGATAGCTTTGCTGGATAGAGTAATCTTGGATGTAGGTCCTTGCCTTTCATGATTTTGAATACTTCTTTCCAGCCCCTTCTTGCCAGATGAGAAGAGATTCTAGAAGATTAGGAGGTAGCAAGGATCGTGAATACAAAATCCCCAAACAGCGTCCATTCTAGGTCCATAGCATCGGTTGTGGGACCACAGCCAATAGAGGGACACCAAGAATGAAGCCAGACAATCAGCATACTTCTCTTAAAGGCTGGGCCCCAGGCCACCATTTGTGGAAGGTGTAGAGCTGGGAGGGGCACCAAGGACTCCTTTGCTGGCTGGAGGCAGATCTAAGTGTCTGAGCCTCCCTCATCCCCCTGGGGAGGGAGCTCCAGGCCTGCTTCTCTGGTTGTCACAAGAGAGTAACAGAGAACTGGCCCCCTGTGGCCTTGAAGGTCAAGAATCCAAAAGCTAGGCACCAGATGGAGCATACCACAGGAATTCAGAAGCCCTTAAACTCTTTAACTTTTTACTCTATACAGTGGAAGTTCTGCATCCTAAATCATCTGATTAGTGTTTTTCCCGTTTTGAGTGGAGACAGGAGAGAAACTGCACACTCCTGGTAGAGGCCACAGGGTGCTGGGCTGAGTACAGTGACAGCCTCCCAGACCTGTCTTCTGGCTCTGCCACCCAGCCTGTGTGGCAGGGGCCACCTAATGTTCTTGACATCTCTCTTAATAGTTTCCAGTGCATTTTTATGACTATTCTAAATAATTACATGTCCCATTACCATAAAACATTATGCAGTTAATTTTCTAAACACTAAGCACATGAAATGTTAACAGGTCTTTTCTCAGCTGCAATAGAGATGAAATATTTCTTTTTTACCTTAGAAGAGCTGAAGTAGAAATCTGGATAAAAACCCAGTTCACTACCTAAAAGAATACCCCCTTAAAAGGAAGAACAGTAACAGATAGGTAGCAATTTATGTCATATTAACATTAGAACTGTAAAGAACTGTTTGTTTCAGCCAGAATCTCAAGTCTAATTGAAATTAGAATAACAATTATATGTCTAAATTTTTAACCTGTATGTAATTTGTAAGCAACTGTGGGAGCTAGCGTTTCTTTGTAGCTGGGAGAATTAGAATATGGATTCAATTATTGTTGCTATAGTATATTTTCATATACAGAGATTCTTTCCCTTTATAAAAGATTCTTCCCCTTTATAAAAGAACTACTTCATGTTTAAACCTGCCTTTCACCCACCACACCCTCGGCACAGTGTTCTCACCCGTGCCGGTGAGTGCACCGGACGCTCGCCGGGGGCGCTGGGGGCCTGCTCTCCTCTACTCAGCGCTCTTTCAGGGGAGCCGTGTGGGTGGAATCTCGCCTAGAGTGTGCCACCTCGATTTATCTTTTAGGAGATGGGGCGTATTATGTCATAATATCAGTCTTTACTTTTCAAATAATTTCTAGCACCTACAGCAAAGTGGATTAATAATGCCTCTTATCTATAATCAGGATGGAAACCAGATGAACTGTAATTTCATTCCTTTGGATATAAAATTAGACCTTTGGGAAGATTTACCTGCAAGCTTTGAGCTGAAACAAAATCGCTCCCTGGTAAGAATAGTTCTGTGAATTTGTTGTAAATTAGAATGTGAGTAATTTTAACAGCCATTTCAAGTTTAATAAAAGCAAGTTTAATACTTTGCGGCCTGTGCAGCATCACATCACCGGCTGCATTTCCATCAGTCCAGGCAGTGCCTGTGAATTACCCCGGTGCGAAGAATGTGTGAAATCCGTTTCCTTGGTGAGCGATCACACCTAGAGTTGCTGTTTCTGTGGGTAGATTCATCCTTACATCATTTAATTTTTCATTCACAGTAGTAGCAACTGCGATAGCTGTATCCTGACAGAATCACATTTTATCTTTAAAGGTTAAGTTCTATAGTGACAAATTCTGAGAGCAATGACAAGACCCTAAGACCATGCTGGGTGACTCTCGACTCTGTCAGAAGCACCAGCATGCAGCTGCAGGCCAAGTACCTGCCAGGGATGCCTCAGTTCTGATCTGTGGCCAACTGAGTGAGCTTCATTGCTAAGAAGGGTCAACATGAATAGGGACTGAGCCAGCATTCCGTGTACCACTTTCTACAAGAAAACAATGATTATGGTTTTGGCCTTTTAGTGGGAATCAAACATTGCCCCTGGGTCAGCTGTACCTGCCTTAAAGGAAAAGGTAGCAGTGAGTTATTTTCTTTAGTATCATCTAATCCTGATTCTCAGGGTCCCAGAGAACAGCATTATGTATAATGGACAAATAAGCAAGATTAATGGTACTCTAATAAAAATGTTCCAGGTTTATTGATGGCTATTTTCTTGTGACAAGTCATTGGGCACAAAGCAATTCTCAGATGTCGTAGTGTCAATCTGTCATGACTGCCACGCCTGCTGTCCCCAACACCAGTTCTGCTTCTTCGACAACTTCTAACAACCAGGCCTCTTTCGATCTCACTGAGCCCATTGCTGCTGGTGGTCCCCATGTGTGTTAGGCACGTGTGCTGGGGGCTCTGAAACACACCTGCAGAGAGTCTTCAGATTGGAAGAGACCTCTGCTGAACTGGCCATGGTGGTTCACAAGAAAGATGAAATCTGCATCAAATGGAAGAAAGCCTTAAATTATGAAACTCAAAACCTGTTTGGGGGATAGAATAGAACATCAGTTTTCTGATGTTATAAATAGCTTTGCTTTCAAGGGAAGAGGACTGGTGAGCTGGTTTCCTTTTCTTTCAGATTTTGAGGTTTGTTCGAGAATGGAGTAGTCTAACTGCCATGAAGCAAAGGATCATCAGGAAAAGCGGGCAACTATTCTGCAGCCCAATTCTTGCTTTCGAAGAGATCACAAAGCAACAAACCAAACGAAATAGTACAAAAAGGTATGAGTTGTCTTTCTCTTTTTATTTTGTATTTTATTATTTGTCATTGTCATTTCTATGAGAGGAGTGAGTCTGAGGTATTTATGTAACCACTAATGAAATCCTGATGAGTGAAGAGAAAATTACACATAAAATGACAGCTTATTTTATAGCAACATATTAGATATTTGGTGAATTTGGTCAAATCTGCTGCGAAGACTAGGTCGTCCAGACCTTTCTCACCATAATTCTTACTCACCAGGAGAGAGGCCAGAGCCACAGGGTCGTGCAGCCTATGAACTGCCCAGCCTGGGACACTTATTAACAACAGGAAGACATTTCCCTGTTAGAGCAATAGAACACACCCCTGGGCCCCATCTGCCCTGCACTTCTGGGGTGTGAATCTTGGGTGCCCTGCAGCAGGGGAGCTGGTTCTATTTGATGCACCACCACCCACGCGGTGGGAGGTAAGTCTGATGCCTGTGGTTGGAAACGAAATAAAAGGAAAGGTTAAGGGTCTTAATGTTTTGCCTTTATAATTACAGGTCCCTTTTTAACCTCTGTGCACTTAGTGTCCTTTCTTGGCATCATAATTATTTTTGCCTCACCCAGGTATCTCCTTGTGTGATCCCCATTTCCTGTAGATCTTTCCTCAGCATGAAGCAGATTCTCAGGAAGCATAGTCAGCTGTCCTGCTGCCCTACGCTTGCTTTGAAAGAGAGCACAAGACACCAACAGCTGCATGGCAGAAAAATCCCCTGTAGCTCTGGCTGTCTCCATACACAAACAGTCTCTCTTCATCCCCACATGCCACCATTGTGTGATGTCTAGCATGTTCCATGCACACAGGTGAAAAAAATCATCAGTGGCATATGAGAGGATATGTATGATTAAATTATAGCCCCACACAGTGAAAAGGGTCTTTAGTTGTTTCAAAATATAGCCTATGGCATATTAATATGGGAAAATAAGAAATGATACTTGTGATAAATTATTAAGGCTAAATAAATATAAAAAAGGATGGATACACAAATGTATGTAATTGCTATCGACATGGAAAGTGTCTGGAAGGGTACCTTAGAAAATCTTACCAGAGGTTTCTCTAGGACAGAGGTTTGCAACTGGGGGCAGTTTTGCCCCCAGGGTGGCAGTGTTAGGAGACATTTTACCTTGTCGAAATTAGGGATTATGACAGGGCAACATCTAGTGGCTAGAGGCCTAGGATATTGCTAAAATCCTGCAGTGGACAGGACTGCACTCTGCAGCAAAGAATTATGTTTCAAAACGTCAGTAGTGCAACTACTGAGGAATCTTGCTCTAGACCGGAAGATTAGGGGATTTATGCTTTATGCTAGAAATGGTAGGGGCTTTATACTTCATGTTAGAATCACAAACTAATGATGGAAAACAAAGCAGGAACCATAAGTGAACAAATGAGCTCAGGTGTAAAACTAGAAAAAGATGGGGTAGGAGGTAGAACTATGGCAAATTGGAAAGTGCATAACACATCTAACATCATTTAAATTCAGATTTAAAAATAAAATACTGTATGTGTCAAATAAAACCCTTTGATGAGTTGGATTTATTTATGAGCTGCCAGTTTGGGACTTGTGTCTAACCCTTCTGTACTGATTGAATTTTTCTCACGAGCATATATTACTTCATATAAAATACATTAAAAATACATGTTTGTAATTATACATACACACACATACATGCACACATACATTACAAAAATTATGATGTCTATTGTACTTTTCTCAATACTTCTTCCAGTCCTCTCCATTTTCTCATTGTTATAATCACAGCCTTACTTGAAGTGTTGGTCTTCTCTTTGCATAATCATAATACCCTTCTTCACTGAATTTATTGCCATTCTAGACAAGTCCCATTGTTTCTTCTCCATCAGACATGAATGGCCACTTAAAGAACCTCCTGATCAGGCTAAAAGCAAGTCATAAAATTGATACAAACCAGAGTTAGACACACAGTCTTATTTATGCAATATATGTAGATGGTATCTTACAAATAACACCTGTTAACAAGAAAAAGAGTAAATAATTGGACTCATATTTTTAAGAGCCAACTTGGACAGCAGTTGGAAGATTAGATTGGAAGGGCAGGACTCGAATTGAGGAGACAAGTTGAGTCAGTTTTCTATTGCCCCTGTAACAAATAATCACAAACCTAGTAGCTTAAAACAACAGCAGTTTACTATCTCATGGTTTTATAAGTCAGAAGTCTGAGTTGGCTCTATTAGTTTTGCTGTTCTGGATTTTATAAGGCTAGCATCAGGGCGTTGCCCAGCTGGGCTCTTCCTGATAGTCTAGAAGAATACATTGCTGTGCTGAATTAGGTTGTTGTCAGAGTTTAGTTTCTTGTGATTGTAGGATTTAGGTTTCCTGGCTGACTATCAGATGAAGGTCACTCTTAGCTTCTAGAAGCTTCTTCCTAGTCCTACCACAAGGAACCCTCTATCTCAGGACCAGCAAAGTTGTGTGAACTCCTTGTGCTTGGAAATTGTTCCCTATCTCAAGGTCTGCAGATTGGTAAACTTAATTACATCTGCAAAGTCCATTCACAGCAGTATCTAGATGAATAACTGAACACCAGGGACAGGAGTCCTAGGGAGATGTCTTTAAAATTCTGCCTACCACACAAATTAAAAGACTGTTGTAGTAAACCTGGGGGTGGGGGAAATGATGAGGACTTACATTAAGGCACTAGCAATGGGAAAGGAGAGAAGAAAAGGAGGAGAGGTGTTTAAAAGGTAGCTCTGATCAGCCTTGGTCATTGATTAGAGAGGGAGGACTCCAGGAAAACTGACTTAGCAGAGCCATGACAGTGAAACTTGCATGCATGTAGAGGGGTGGTGCTTTGAGGAAGCGTGCTGATTCTCACCATGGAAGCCAAGTCTCAGTAAACTGGAGTATCTGTGTCTCTTTGGAAACAGGTGTGGTGACGGATGGGGCTGCACAACAGCACTGACTGGAAGTCTGTATGAGGAAGGTTAGATACTGGATGTCTTTCCCCCACTGTCCTACCGTGTTACTTTCTAGAAAAACTGAACCAAAGGGGCATCAGGCTTGGAAGCACCATGCTCAGTGGACATAAAAGAAGAGGCATAATTGGGAAACTGAACCGTTTCCACAGTCTTCACTCAACTTCCAGAATACCAGCAACCACATTTTTTATTTCCTAAGCAAAAGTTTAGAAGATTCATCTATAAAAAAAGATGTAATGGCCTCAGAATAAAGACAAATAGATACTGAATTTTAGGAATACCCCCAAAATCAATGGCTAAATTTCCAACCAGACTATCTTCCAGTGATGTCCACCAGTTTTCAGGCCCGTCCAAGTTCAGGGCTCACAGTCAGCTTTTAAGTAGCTCGCCTTCAAATGTGAATGGAAGGCAGGATCACCAGCCATTGTTTTGGTTCCTAAGTGAGTTCCCATTTTTCAGAGGCAGGCCTGATTCATGGGGAGCCCTGTTGGCTTTGAGATGACAACTATTTATCTTCCAGCCACAGCTCCTCTGCAAAGCAGGCCAGCAACCTAGAGCCAAGCAGTGTTTCCACTGGTGGGGCCCACTTTCCAACACACACTCCTCTCTCCTTACAAAACTCGCCATCCTCTGTTCGCAGTCCCATCCAGGAATTACTTAGTAGACAACATTCTCCCTTTTCTACTTGTCAAAGGGGAATTTACCATAATCCTTTTGAGAATTGATATACTTCCTATCAAACCTCAGTGGAAAATTAAATATTGGTAACTCACAACTATATTTGAAAAGTTTTCAACCCCCACCCTGATTTGGAGTTGATTGTTCCTTATGGTTTCCAAAAATCCGTGCTAAAAACTCTTGCAGGAAAGGTTATTTTTAGTTCTTAAATCTCTGAATAGATTTCTCAGCATCTTTTAAAGTTACTGAGTTAGGTTTCTTAGCTTTTAAACACTGAATAATACCTAAGGCAAGGTTTAATATCCCCTTTCCCCTCAAAGCCAAGAAGCTTTTGATTCCACTTAGAATCCACCAAAATACTTTACTTGAAGTGCTTTTATCAAGGGAATAAAATGGTTGAAGAAATGGGGGCAGGCGAGTTTAAGAACTAAAAGGGCAAGTTAGAGAATTTTAAAAGAATTCACTGTGGTTCTTTATTGCTTTAAGAAAGACACACAGTAGAAATGCAAATGTATGAGAAGACAATCACCCTTAACAGGAGAATGCAAATTTAAAGCTATAATGAGATACCTTGTCACCATTAGCAGAAAAGTTTTTAACTGAAGTACCTTGTGCTGGTGAAAGTGTGTGAAAGCAGGTACTGTCATTCATTGCTGGTGGACCTGTGTGTTGGTACAAACCCACATGAGAACAATGTGTCAACACCTATTCAAATTTAAAATACCCAAGACTTTTGACCTGACAATTCTTCTGGGAATTTATTTTACGTATATTTCATGTGTAGAAACTATCACGGATAGGGATATTTATGACAGCATTGTTTGGGATAGCAGACACCAGAACCACCAAAATGCCCATTAGTCAGAGGCTGATTAGATATATTATATGGTTTATCCAAATAAGGGAATATTGCGATGGTTTGAAAAATAGGGTAACTCTGTATACTACTATGGAGATAAATATATCTGAGATGGATGTTTAGGTAAAGCCATCAAAGTGAATATTAATGTGTATATGATGCTACCATTTTGTTTTTAAAAGTAAAGAGTGTAATGGAGAGTGTCTGCTAATGAGTTCAGGTTTCTTTTTGAGGATAAAATGTTCTGGAAGTAGGTAGTGGTAATGGTTGTACAACCTTGTGAATATACTAAAATGCACTGAATTTAAAAAATTTAAAATGTTAAATTTAGTGGCACAAATTACATGTCAATAAAAATACAGAGATAAGCCCTGGCTGGTGTGGCTCAGTGGACTGAGTGCCAGCCTGCAAACCAAAGGGTCCCCAGTTCAATTCCCAGTCAGGGCACATGCCTGGGTTGAGGGCCAGGTGCCCAGTAAGGGGCGTGCAAAAGGTAACCAAACATTGATGTTTCTCTTCCTCTTTTTCTCCCTCTCTACCCCTCTATCTAAAAATCAATAAATTAAAAATCTTTAAAGAATAAAAAATACAGAGATAAACAAATGGATAACCTATATACACGAAAAATTACCTATTTCTAAAAGAGCCCTGGCTCAGTGGATTGAGTACAGGCCTGCGAACCAGAAGAATCACGGTTCGATTCCCAGTCAGGGCATGTGCTTGAGTTGCAGGCCAGTTCCCAGTAGGGGACACACGAGAGGCAACCATACATTGATATTTCTCTCCCTCTCTCCTTCCCTTCCCCTCTAAAGATAAATAAATAAAATCTTAAAAAAAAACTATTTCTAAAAGGATAACCTAAAAACTAGCAATAGAGGTAGCTTTGGGGGAGGTAAAAGGGATGGAATGGAAGGGACACTTATTCACTATACATACTATTACATGCCTTTTGAATTTTGAAATATGTGCAGTATATATCACCTAATTGAAAAATTATAATACAGTTTATAAGAAGGAAATTGTTCATTATTAAATCTACATTAACATAAAAGAAAATTTCTAAAATTTTACCTACACTTGTACAATTCCATTGTGATTTAACTTTGATTTTATTGTCAAGATCCCAAATGAAGTACTCAAAAATATGAAGAAATTTATATTTAAATTGATTTTTTAAAAAACTACAATCAGTGTTAACTACCAGAGAAACTGGGCCATGCTAATTACAAGGACTTAATTGGGTAATTGCATTTCACCTACTTAAATTCCCTTGTTGCCTTTAATTGGAATAACTTTTCTCTTTCCTTCCAGTCCCTAACCATTGTGTGGTATTGATAGTGTTGTGTAATGAGGTTTTGAATCCCACGTCAAGAGTGGCTTCCCTTTAGTGAATGATTCCACAAACCCCATCTGGGCTGATAATAATGGCAACAACCTTGAGATTATAGAAAATGTGATTGAACCTCTTTAAAAAGAGAATCACTTTACCTGGAATGCTGGCACACACTGTTATAGCTGATCAAGGTGATCCGAGGAACCCTGAAGAGAAGGCCAAGAGGGAGGTAAAAATGCAGTGAGAGATTTTTCTGCACTGCATGCTAAGCTGTATATTTAAGGCTGCCAGTTGTGCGTGTATTTGAGCACTTCTTATTCCTACACCCACTCCTTTTTTTTATCTAAGTGAAAATTGGTACAGAGAATGTCAAATGACTCTTGAGTTTCTTAGAAAAATAAATCTTGAGAAAACTAATGTGGAAGTGTTTCCCACACATGGAGGGAGACCAATGTAAAAGGAGAAAATTTTATTCCCGAACTTTAGCATCACCACACCAAATAGATGTTATCTTGCTTTTCTCCTAGTGCTTTTTACATATTTTTATTGATTTTAGAGATAGAGAAGAAGGGATAAAGAGAGAGAAAGAGAAACATCGATTTGTTGTTTATGCATTTATTGGTTGATTCTTTTATGATCCCCAACTGGGGATCAAACCCACAACCATAGCGTATTGGGATATGACTGATGCTCTAACCAATTGAGCTGCCTGGCCAGAGCTTCTTGTAATGCTTTTGCAAGGAGCACTATGACCATGAAATGGAGAAGCTCTTACAGGAGTGAGGAAATCCTCTTAACATGTCCTTATTTTAGATATATAACCAAAGAAGATGTTGCTGTAGCCTCATTGGACAAGGTGAAGAATGACGGGGGCCACCTCCGTCTGATCACAAAGGAGGCCAGGCCACAAGACACTTCTACAAAGTAAGGTTTACTTACTAGTAGGGCAAAGCAGTACTAAGACTACCCCTTTAAATCTTTGTATTCATTTTTGTAATAATAGTTTACCTTTGTATGGCATCTTACAGGTTATAAAGAGCTTCCACAATACGGTAGTTCTTCAATCCACCTAGCAATCCTGTGAGGCACATGATGTCCCCACCTTAGAAATTAGACACCGGAAGGTTATTTTTAGGGCCCTAAGACCAAGTGGACTAAGTGGCCTGCCCCAGGCCTCTAAGACTCTAGGAAACCTGGGGTCCAGTACAGACTCTGCCCCCCTAAGAGCTCTGAGCTCTTTCTTGCATAAGAAGCTTTTGTTTTAACACTTATAATGAGCAGCCATAGAAAACAGGCAAAGTAGTTCTTGTGATTCCAATGTAGGACTTTTCAACATAATTGAGTAATATACCATTTCCTTTTATTCTAACAAATTGAGTACATGTCCTGTTGTGTTTTATTTCTAATTTTAAGTCAGTCAAACTATGGTTACCTTTAGGAGGCAATATTTAGCAAGTCTTCAGTTCTAATTTCTATCAAAACTTTCTGGCTGCTTGGCTTTGGCACTTTATGGATGCGACTCTGTGTCCTGTAGGCCAGCAGAGCCTGGAAGACAGGGTTCATGAAAGCCTTACTAATGGCCCCTCTGTCCTAAAGAGGCATGTGGCATCTGGAGAACAAGATAGCAATAACTTGGATTTTGATATCACATTAGTCTGTCCTTTTCCAGCCTAAAGAAGCATTTTCTAACTTCTCCAGATGTTTCAAAGTCTGATTGTTTAACTTGAAAATATCTAAATGCTCAAGAGAGGTAGCATATTTGTATTTAAATTAATTTTTTTAAACACACCATTCTTTCCTTTATTTGGAGTATAGAGTGCTGACTGCAGCCACTTCATTTCCACAATGAATCATAGAATCTGTGGGTCCTATGTTTACTGTTTATCAGCATAGAAATTTTGAAGACTTTTATGTGAAGTTATATCTGTTTTGACTAGTGTAAGTATTATTAGCTGTTCTGTTCAATTCTAGAAACTTTCTTGAAGATGGAGCCTGTGTCCCATTTCCAAATTCCTGCCTAGCCCAAGCCGATCACACTGTGAAGCCTTCTACATCCAAGGGCTATTTGCAAGCTGTGGATAATGAAGGAAATGCACTTTGCCTTCTCTGTCAGCAACCCACTTGCCAGACTAAACAAGAGTGTAAAGTGAATGCTTGGGATTCACGGTTTTGCTCTCTGAAATGTCAGGAGGAATTTTGGATTCGTTCTAATAACAGTTACCTACGAGCCAAAGTATTTGAAATTGAACATGGTGTGTGTCAGCTATGTAATCTGAATGCACAAGAACTCTTTTTACGTCTGAGAGATGCTCCTAAAAGTCAGCGGAAAAGTCTTCTGGATATTGCCTGGATCTCAAAGCTCCCTTTAGAACAGGTAAATTATAATCGTGTGACAGATAGGAGGCAGCATTGTACTCAATGATGAATATTGACTTGCTTTCCTTTTAACAGTTTTAACATGGGAATGTTCAAATACACAAAAGTAGAGAGAATAATGAACCCATATACCCATCACCCAACTTGAACAGTTACTAACATTTTGCCTTCGTTTTCATCGATCTCTTACCTCAATTCTTTTTTTTCGCCCTTGCAATAACTTTAAAGCAAATTCTAGACAACATTTCATTTCATCCTCAAATACATTCATTATGTATCTCTCACAGATAGAACTTCTCCCTGTCTCCTCTTCTCCCTCTCTGCCTCTGTCTTTGATTTATAGTCCCATACCCCCAATACCCCTTATCATATCCAACATAATTATAATTTTTTAATTTTAGTCATGCATATTTGGTTTCCCAGATTGTCTCAAAAATATCTTTTTGTAACTGTCTTACTCAAATTAGAACGCAGATATGACCCACACATTGCATTTAGTCATTGTGCTTCTTATGTTCCCTTTAATATACAAGAGGGTCGCCCCAAAAAACAAAATTTATTTATAAAAATTGTGTATTTATTCTTACATGTTTAAATGTCAGTCACCTTCAAAGTACTCTATATTTGATGCAATACACCTATCAAGACGTTTTTCCCACTGATCAAATCAGTTTTTGAACTTGTTAATTTCGATGCCTTTTAATGCTTCTGTCATTTTTGTTACCTCTTTCATATTGGCCAAACATTTCTCTTTGAGAACATTTTTCACCTAGGGAAACAAACAAAAAAAATAGCTTAGGATGAGATCAGGTGTGAGGGAGGGGAGGGCACTGGGGAGTCATACTGGTTTTGATCAAAAGCTGCCCAACATTTAGCGGATATGAGCATATGAGCTTGTAAATCACCCATCATGAAATGGGCAAACGCATTGAGCCTTCAAAAAAAAATTCACTGAGGCCTAACACAGCTCTCACAACGATGCCAGCTGTTACACTGATACAGACGAATTTCTAGAGTACTCACCTAGCAGAAGCTTGTACTACAAGGGGTTTGCCCTCCAGAAGATAATTCTGGTTTCTTTTTGTGTCCCTCCCCTCCCTGCACCCCCCCTGCCGTATATCACCCCATTCTTGTTTTACTGCATTGATTGTTGAAGAAACTGAGAGATTGGCATGTAGGATTTCCACATCCTGGACTTGTCTCCCTGTATTCTCATGGTATTATCTGACATGTTTCTCCATCCCCCTGATTTCCAGAATAATGGTTATAAGATATAGAGGCTTAATTAGATTCTGATTAAACTAATGGGGAAAGGGACCTTAGCAGGTGACACATTGCATCAAGAAGTGCCTGTGACGACCCCCATCTGTTTCCATAGTCGCTGTACCAATTTACATTCCCACCAGCAGTTTACAAGGGGTCCTTTTTCTCCATGTCCTCAATAATATTTTTTAAATCCTCACCCAAGGATATGTTTTTGATTGATTTTAGAGAGGAAGGTGGCAAGGGGTGAGGGGAGAGAAACATCAGTGTGAAGGAGAAACATTGGTTGCCCCCTGCACACACCCCAGCTGGGGATCAAACCTGCAACCTAGGTATGTACCCTGACCAGAGATCAAACGCCCAACCTTTTGGTGTGTGGGAAAATGCTCCAACCAACTGAGCAACTTGGTCAGGGCCCCAATAAATTTAACTTAAAAAAAAAATCCACCGATGGTCCAGTTGTTCTACTTTTCATGATATATTGAGTGACAAATAGCAAACAGATAACCTTAAAATGTAGTTCAGTGCAATGAGAAGGCAACATATATGTTCATCTGTTGTAAAATACAATTTTACTGAAGCAATTTATCACAAAATATTTTTTCTTTTTTTAAATATATTTTATTGATTATGCTATTATAGTTGTCTCATTCCCCTCCCTTTATCTATCCCCCTCCACCCTGCACACCCCCTCCCACTGACATTCCCCCACTTTAGTTCATGTCTGTGGGTCATACTTATAAGTTCTTTGGCTTCTCTATTTCCCATACTACTCTTACCCTCCCCCTGTCTATTTTCACCTACCATCTATGCTACTTATTCTCTGTACCTTTTCCCCCTCTCTCCCCCTCCCACTCCCCTGTTGATAACCTATCATGTGATCTCCATTTCTGTCATTCTGGTTCTGTTCTTAGTTGTTTGCTTAGTTTGCTTTTGTTTTTGTTCTTTTAGGTTCAGTTGATAGATGTGAGTTTACTGTCATTTTACTGTTCATATTTGTTATCTTCTTTTTCTTAGATAAATCCCTTTAACATTTCATGTAATAATGGGTCAGTGATGATGAATTCCTTTCACTTGACCTTATCTGAGAAGCACTTTTTCTGCCCTCCATTCTAAATGAAAGCTTTGCTGGATAGAACAATCTTGGATGTAGGTCTTTGGATTTCATGACTTGGAATACTTCTTTCCAGCCCCTTCTTGCCTGTAAGATCCCTTTTGAGAAACAGCTGACAGTCTGATGGGAACTCCTTTTTAGGTAACTGTCCCCTTTTTTTTTTTTTTTTGATGCTTCTAGTATTCTCTCCTTCATTTTAATCTTGGGTAATGTAATTATGATGTGCCTTCGTGTGTTCCTCCTTGGGTCCACCTTCTTTGGGACTCTGAGCTTCCTGGACTTCCTGGAAGTCTATTTTCTTTGCCAGATTGCTGAAGTTCTCCTTTATTGTTTGTTCAAATAAGTTTTTCACTGGTGGCTGTTCCTCCTCCCCTTCTGGTACCCCTATAATTCGGATGTTGGAGCATTTAAAGATGTCCTGGAGGTTCCTAAACCTCTCATTTTTTTGAATTCTTGTTTCTTCATTTTTTTCTGTTTGGTTGTTTCTTTCTTCCTTCTGGTCCACACCGTCAATTAGAGTCCCAGTTTCTTTCCCATCACTGTTGGTTCCCTGTGCATTTTCCTTTCTTTCCCTTAGCGTTGCCTTCATTTTTTCATCTAATTTGCGACCAAATTCAACCAATCCTGTGAGCATCCTGATCACCAGTGTTTTGAACTGTGCATCCGATGGGTTGGCTATCTCTTCATCATTTAGTTGTATTTTTTCTGGAGCTTTCATCTGTTCTTCCATTTGGGCCATTTTTTTTGTCTCACAGTACCAGCTTTGTATAAGGGGCGGAGCCTTTGGTATTCACCAGGGCGGGGCAACCCCAATGGCTATGCTGTGAAAGCTGTCTGTGGGGAACGGGTCCAGAGGGAACAATGGCACTTGCTCCGCTCTCTGCCAGATTTCAGTCACTTCCCCCACTACCCACAAGCAAAGTGGGCCCTTCTGGTGCTGATTGCTGGGTGGGTGGGCTTGTGTACATTCTGGGACCCTGTGGATCTCTCCAGTGAACTCTCCTGTGAGGCTGCTGCTGCCTCAACCCCCACAGGTGTTTTCAATTGGTTGTTTGAGGCTTTTATTTCCCCGAGCTGGGACCCCAGGTTGCAAGGTCTGCCTCACTCCTCAGTTGTTCCTCCTGGTTCATCTGTGCTTGAATGTGGGATCATCCGCTCTACCAGCCGCTGCCTTGCCCGCCCTGCTCCTCCACCACCACCTTGCTGAGTGTCCTCTCCTCCCGGATGCCTGTCTCCGCCCCTCCTACCAGTCTTGGTGGATGTTTCTTCTGTAACTCCTTGGGTGTTGGACTTCCATACAATTCGATTTTCTGTCAGTTCTGGTTGTATTTTGTTTTTAAATTGTTCTTGTCCTTTTGGTTGTGCAAGGCAGCAGTGTGTCTACCTGTGCCTCCATCTTGGCCTGTAGTCATGACAAAATATTTTTTATTGTTGTTCAATTACAGTTGTCCCAATTTTTCCCCCGTTGCTCTTTCCTGACCACCCACCCCCCACCCCCCTTCCCTCAGTGAGTCCCCACCCTGTGGTCCATTACCAGGGGTTCCTTTACTAGACCCTTCCCCTTCTTTCCCTCTTGTCCCTCTCCCTGCTTCCCTCTGGTCACCATCAGTTTTTCTTAGACTCATTAATATTCACTTTGATTCCCAGAACTCAACTGGATGTCTAATGTTGTGATCTAGTTAGTCTAAATTTCAAGCTAAAGCAAGATATGTAATTTTATAGTGAACTTAATTTTTAAAAAAGTCACTCCTCAGCCACTCTCTGCTCACTAAAATGTTGGATACATTCCTGCCAGTTAGATCATATATTTTTATTTACCTATTTCTGAATTATGATAGAATTAATTAATAAGCATTTCTGCAAAGATGAATTAGCATGGCTTTGAGAACTAGGGAAATACACTACTTTTAAATGGCATCCTGAGTTTCTGAAACATCCTTTGGTCTAATTGTTGAGCGGTATATTGCACCCACCCCAGGTGTGCCACACGGACTCTAGTTATTGTCTGCTGCCTTGGCAGAGGCTTCCAGAAGACACACGATGAAAGAATTCAAGGACATCCTGAAAGCAGCCTGTCCGGGACTGCAGAAGGAACTTAATACACGTAAAGCAGAGTGCTCGGAGGAGAGGGAGCACCACGGGGCTCAGGTGGGACAGGAGCAGTCCGAGAGGGAGTGACTCTTTCAAGAGGTGAATTTAGGATGTTGAAGACTGGCCCCAAATGAATTGTTAATTACTAGAAAGGAGAAAGGAACACCTTCTGGATCATAGAGTCTGTCAGAATATAGACTGTTCAAAGCAAAAGAATTGGTTATAAAAGGTAGTACCAAAATGGACTTTTTCCCTAAGAATTTGCCATTTGCTAGATGCATAAGACTGCCATTTTTAGTTGCTTCTAACAATGCCAACCACAGCTGGACAAAGTCTACTGCTCCAGATTGCTGCCACTTGGGACGTCCCTCAGGCTGGGCACTGTTATCATGTCCCTGTGCCATCATGGGTCTGACAAGCTTCCTTACAAGTGCTTCAGAGCTACGACACAGGTTCCCACGGCTGTCAGCTGTGAAGTTGGTTATAACGTCTTCCTTGTTCAGGACCAGGAAAAATAAAACCAACCTTCACACTCATCCTCATGATATTTAAACAACTGCACATCTATGCTGTGAGCTGGTTTTACTACCTTACGTAAAATGTTAAAATACTTTCCATTTGAATGTAGGTCATCATTGGTTAAATATAAAGTGTGTATATGTGGACTGGCCTAAATCATGCCTGCTTTAAATGGACATCTTTGTTTATTCAAAATATGCAACTTATAGAGGTTTGTTCTCAAAATACTGTACCAGTGCATGTTACTTGGGAGATTCCCAGGTGAATAGCATAAAAATTCCAAGTGATAGCTATTAATATTAAACTGTCATTGGTATAGTAACAAATGCATTTAGGTCAACAATTACAGATTGTTCCAGTCAGTAATATTCAGAACTTTTAAGTTACTAACCTGCTCTTATTCATTTCTCAGTTTTGTTTTAGTGACTATATAAAGTATCTCCAAAGTGCAGAAGCAACTGATTTTTCCCACTCTGTCAGGAGTGTTGGTATTTCATACCTGCTTGTAATTTTTCAAAATGGGTTAGGTAAGGAAAAAATAACTTTTTCAGGAATACGTTTTATTGGTTTCTAATTGCTAACCTAAGGCTTTTTCCTATCCACACAAAAAAAAGCTATAAAAAGACATTCTAATGTATTTTCCCTGTGATTTTGCTGTATAAACATGATTGCACAATGCAAAACCAACAGTTCCCACAGTGTATGTAAAAAGGTGCTGATCTTGTGTTCTTATTGCAGCTTAATGAAATGATAAGAAACCCAGGGGAAGGGCATTTCTGGCAGGTGGACCACATCAAGCCAGTGTTTGGTGGAGGAGGACAGTGCTCCCTGGACAACCTGCAGACTCTCTGCACAGTCTGCCACAGAGAGGTCAGTGAGGCTCTCAGTCACATCCTACCCCATCCTGGGACATCAGTTATTCATCGTGCACACAGGCGTGGAAGGTGCTGTGGGTGAATCCATATCCCTGGTTTGGGATCCAAAATGCATTTTATTTCTTTCATCACCTAACACTTTGTTTCCTCTCAAGGCCTAACTTCTCAGTCACAGATGAAAGGGAAGCTGCTTCCCTTCTCATTTATTCTAGAACCAGGAAATTTCATACCACCTAGATGAAAATGAATACAGTGTACAATTTGCATATTTCTTGAAAAGACGCAGACCCTCAATCTAGAAGTTCGGTGAATGGGGGCAGTAACATATGTTTGCATTTGCAGCTAAGGATGTCCTTAAATGTCTAAGAACGTTAATAAATCATCTCTGGGACCAACTCAATTCAACATTGCAAACAGTACATTCCTGGCCAAAGTATGAAATCCATTAACCTTGGCACATCTTTGAGCAATTACTTGTTGCTTAAAACAAGAGGAAAAAAATGACACAGTGGCCCTGACCAGCTTGCTCAGTGGGTTGGGCATCATCCCGAAAAGCAAAAGGTTGCCGGTTGGATTCTGGCCAGGGCACATGCCTGGGTTGCAGGTTCGATCCCTGGTCAGGGCGTGTAGGAAAGCAACCTATCGATGTTTCTCTCTCATGTTGATGTTTCTCTCCCTTTCTCCCTTCCTTCCCCTCTCTCTACAAATAAATAAAATCTTTATTTAAAAATGACATAGTATTGTTTATCAACTAGGATGAAGTTTTAACAGCCAGCCCAGCAAAAGGAAGTCATATCTGCCCATTGAGATAGTCTTAAAAAGAAGCATATATTCAATATACAAGTCTGTATCTAATTTTTTTTTCACTTAGGGCAGACTTAAGCATTTTCTCATGTTTCTGTAATAAGCATTCACAATGTTTATTGTCTAAAATGGCTGCACATTATTCTATTGAGTAGATCTGTACCATAGTTTTTTTAGCCATTCCCACACTGATGAACATTAAAGTTATTTATTCTTTTTAGTTCTTATATATAATGTTGCCAAGCACATTTTTTTATGTTTTGAGGTCATTCCTTAAGATAGATTCTCAGATCTAAAATATCACTAAGTCAAGTGTGGTTATTTTTGAGGCTGGTATTTTCATCTCCAAGCTGTTTTCCGAAGGTTTACACTGTCAGGCTGCTCCCTGGTGTCAGGGAAGGAGAGCGCTCCCTGAACTGCGTTCGTCAGTGCCCACGTGCTGGGGGGAGAATGGCCGCCACCATTTTGCTTACTAAAGACCCTGCTGTTCATGAAAATCCCGTTCAATTGTATTTACAGTTTTGAGGTCTGTTCAGATCCTTTGCCAGTATTCATATTGTATGAGCATTTTCTTAGCCTTCTTTTAATATTTTAGGCTCCTCTTTTCACAAACATAATTTTTACATAAATAGGATTATGTCATATAGTTAGGAGTTTTGTTTTCAGTTTGAACACTCTTTGCTTTCCTCGCCTTTCTACCTGGATCACTTCAAGTGTACATGGACTCCAGTTGGGGGAAATGTCTTCTGATTTCTCGTCTGTTCACATTGCTGGCACATTTGAGACCAATAAGAGAATTAAGACACAGCAAAATAAAATGCTACCCTTTCTGTAATCACTTTTCAAGCTCTCATGAAAATTTTTATTTGTGGGGATGGCAGAATTCAGTTCTTTTCTATCTCATTTGGTTTTTCTATATTGGTTTGGCTGTCGGATTGGGAATTCCAAAGAAGAAGGAGGAGGTGAGCCTTGTATGCACTGCATTCTAGAAAATTCCAAAAAGCCTTCCAGACTCCCACTTGAATGAAGAGAATCATAGCCTCCTCCCCTCAACCTCAACTGAAGGATTCTCAGATCTCATTGGGTAGCAAGACGTCCCCCAAAGCTTGTGTTTTCTCCTCAGCATCTGGTCTTAAGTGAACCTACAGTGTCGGGGCCCTGAGCAGAGCACTTGGGTCCTCTGCTTGTGGTTTGGTAACCCCCAGAGGGCAAAGCACTGGTAAGTATATGTGGGGATACTGTAGTTTTTTCCAGACTAGCAAAATAGAAAGAGTTTTTGACTTTCTATAGCTAGTACTTTTTCCCCAACATGTGAACACATTCCTATTTTTACCTTTTAGAGAACTGCCAGACAAACCAAGGAAAGGAGCCAGGTGAGAAGACAGTCTCTGGCAGCAAAGCACGGATCTGACATCATGCGATTTTTGGTGAAGAAATGAAGTGTAAAAATCTTGAATGGATGACAAATGGTTTACATGTGGAGGAATGTAACTCAAGTTTTTTCGTGTTTATCTAATATTTTAAGAGTAGAAATTTTCAGACAATCAAGGATTCAACTTCCCTTTTCATATTAAATGCTTTTAGTGTTCACTGCCTTTTTAAAGTACTTAACAGAAATCCTGAGATGTGGTACTAAATATAGTGATCTTCTCAATTTCATACAGACTCAGTTATGTCTCAGTAAGGTTTTGTTAAGCCCTCATTTCCCCCTTCTATACCTTAATCATGGTATTATGCAAAGATGGTATTTGAAAAATATAGTCTCAATTACTTGCAACTGCTACTGGATTAGGATTGGTTCTGGACTGCTGTGCATATAAAATGGAACACTGCAAAACCATAAGGGAAATTTGGGAAGCGAATATCATTATTCACGAATACTGGGTGAAGTGTGACGGGCCTGCTTAGTATGCAGGAGAGACTCTTGTTCACTAAATGCCTCCAAAAAGGGCTTGGGATACACATTTTGACTGTTTCTTTTTTGTTATATTTCTTAGCCAGCTGTCTTTATTGAAACAAATGCTTTTGAAAATAAGGTAATTGGACCCCTGCTGTTTGTGGACAGTTCCCGAGTTCTGGGTAAAATAACTATTAAAAATACTTAAAACTAAAAACATAAAATTTAAAATACCACGTAAACTTCAATAATTAGTTTGTTCTCATTCATAAAACTAGACTGGCTGTCATAGCACCTTTTGTGTCCTGATTATCACTTTTTGTTTTTAAAATTCTGTCTTATTAAAAGTGTATTCCTGGTACCTGATTTAAAAGAAGCGATGATGATTAAACACTTTATATTAAAGCATGATCAGACTGAGATATGTGTTTAAAAATAAAATGTAATCGATACAAAAAAGTAGAAGGGTGATGATGAAATAAAACCAGAGCACAGTCCTATAATATGTCAGAGTCATGAAAGCAGAGAATGAGAACTACACAAAATACAGGTTGAAGGAAGAATTATATTCACAAAAGACCTGTTTGTAAATACTGTATGGATGCAACCTTGTTAGTGACTCTCCAGTTTTAATCAGTATCTTATGTTTTACAATGTAGATGACTTCTTTTTAGAAAGACTATACACATGAATTTTCCTTTTAGAGTTTTTATTAAGTTTATAACTTTCACTGTATAAGATCAAAGAGTATTGTTTACTTCACAAATTAGGTTGGACTTTCTTTGGCCTTTTTTCTGTTTTGCTGGTCAGCCTCTAAAGATTTTTGCCTCATTGCCAGGGTTACCTAGGATTCCTCACAGTTGAGAGCTAAGAGATCCTCACACTGCTTTTCCTGCAGCACAGCGTGTTTGCAAGTGAGACTTTGGTCTAAGTAGGTCAGGTTTGAGTGGAGCTTGCTCTTTAGAGCAAACCAGGGTGGTGGTTCTGGGGAGCACATTTTCAGATGCAGGAACTATGTGATGGTTTGAGGTGAAATGACCCCGAAGGTGGTCTACTCTTGGCCAGACTTCAAAAATTCAAAAATTCAAATTAAAAACACTGTAAAGACATTGAAAAAAATATGGATAAATTTAACCAGGGAGGTGAAAGATCTGTATACTGACACTATAGACATTAATGAAAGAAACTGAAGAAGACATAAATGAATAGAAAGATATTTTGTGTTCATGGATCTGAATAATTGTTAAAGTAGCTGTATTACTCAAATAAATCTACTGATTTAATTCAATCCTTATCAAAATTATAATGTAATTTTTTATAGAAATAGAAAAAATCCTAAAATTTGTATGGAACTACAAGAGACTCGCTGATAGCCAAGACAATCTTGAGAAAGAAGAAAAAAGCTGGAGACCTCATGCTCTCTGCTTTCAAACTATATTACAGAGCGATAGTAATCAAAACATTATGGTATTGGCATAAAACTGATGCATAGATCAACGGAATAGAATAAGCCCAGAAATAAACCCATGCATATATACTCAACAGATTTTCAGCAAAGGAGCCAAGAATATACAATAGGAAAAGGATAGTTTCTTCAATACAGTGTTGGGAGAATTAGATAACCACATGCAAAAAGAATAAAACTGCCCCCTATTTTATACCATACACACAATTTAAGACCTGAACGTTAAACCTGAAAGCATAAAACTCCTAGAAGAAAACATAGGATCAAGCTCTTTGACTTCTGTCTGGGCTATGAATTTTTTAAATCTGACCACAAAAGCAAAAATAAACAAGTGAGACTACATCAGACTGAAAGCTTTTGCACAGCAAAGGAAATTGAGAAGGAAAATAGGGAAAAAATTTTTGAAGCAAAAAATGTAAAATATTTAATAACCTGTGACCCCACTCCACTGTCACACACACCCCCACAGCAAGCCTACATTTGGACTATAAGACGCACCCTCATTTTCTTCCCAAATTGGGGGGGGGTGCATCTTACAGCCCCAAAATATGGTATGTAATGGGAGAAAGCATTTGCAAAACACATATCCAGTAAAAGGTTAATACCAATATAGATGAGAAACTCATACAATTCAGTAGCAAAAATACAATCACTAATCATTATGGAAATTCAAATCAAAACCCACAATGAGATATCATCTCATTCCTGTTACAATGACCATTGTCAAAAAGACAAGAGAAAACAGATGTCGGAGAGGGTGTGGAGAAAAGGGAACCCTTGTGCACTGTTGATGGGAATGTAAACTGATGCAGCCACTGTAGAAAATAGTATGGTGGTTCTTCAAGAAAAAAAAATAGACCTACTTTAGGATCCAGCAGCCCTACTTCTAGCTATATGTGCATAGGAAAACAAAAGCAATGATCTCGAAGGGATATCTGTACTGCCGTGTTCACGGCAGCATTATTCACAGTAGCTAAGGCATGGAAACAAGTGTCTTGTCAACGGATGAATGGATAAAGAAAACAGCAGATGTACATAGTATAATATTTTTCAGCTTGAAAAAAAGGAAATCCTGCAGCTTACTACACCATGGAGTCAGAGAGCATTATACTAAGTGAAGTAAGGCAAATAAAGAAAGACAAATGCTACCTGGCATCACAGGTGGAATGGTAAAAAAAAAAAAAAAAAAAAAAGAACTCATAAAAATAGGAGAAAAATGGTTACCAGGGACTGGGAGGTGAGGGAGTAGGGGGCGTTTAGTAAAAACGTACAAACTCTCAGTTATGAGATGAATATGATCTGAGGATCTAATATATAACATGGTGACTATAGTTGATGTTTTTATAATTAAAATTAGCTAAGAGTAGATCATATATGTTTTCCCCTCCCTAAAAAATAGAAGTATGCGCAGTGATGAAAGTGTTAATTAGCTAGATAGTGGTCATTTTTTCACATTGTATCAAACAATCACATTGTACACTTCAAACATCTTACAGTTTTACTTGTCAATTAGACCTCAATAAAGTGGAAAGAAAAACACTGAGGAACCATGAACATTTGCCATACAGGATCTTGACTGACCGACCCCATGCCTCCCTGCCTTGTCTCAGAGCTTCGTGTCCTGTCTCCCCTCCCAACCCCACTTTGACCTACTTTACTTGAGGGATGCATTGAGACACAGCATTCTGGCAGAATTCATGGCTGAAAATAAAGGTAGACAGATCGATAATAGCAAAGACCTCAGAAGGTAGATAAATATTACAGGGACATTCTAGGGAGATTGCTCTTTCGTCCTCAACAGTGTGAAAGAGAAGCTGCCCTCTATGGATTGCAAGTGGAAAGTTCCAACAGAGGGCACGGATGGGGTCAGGGCAAGCAGCGGGCTCTGCGGCAGAAAGAAGTGCCCAGTGCCCTGCCCCCACCCCCACCTCCGGGAACAAAACCGCTGCTGCCACACAGGAAATGAAGATAAAGTGAAAAACAAAGGGGAGTTGGTGACACAGAGGAGGGGGGCCCAGCTCTAAAAAGCCTCAGAGAATTTATAAGATGCAGTTTAGGCTTAGAAAAGGAGAGACCGTTTCCAGGGAACAACTGGAAATGGAGAGTGGGGGATGACAGTTTGCAGCAGGGGAGCTATGAAAAGACGCCGGATCTGAGAGATGGTTGTGCTTGTCAGCAAGGCTGTCTCCTCACCCCCGCTTGTGGGGTTGGGACCGCTTTGGACGGAGGGCGAGGTCTTCCTGAGCAGGGTGGCTCAGGCACCCACACGGTGCATGCCCAGCATCAGCCTGGCCTTCCTTCCTGTTCACAGCCACTGAGGGCCAGTGACCTCCAGAAACTGAGGAAGGACAAAGTTGCTCTTAGCAGCCCCGGAGCTGTAGGGGAGATCTCATTTGGAATTTCTGAAGAAACCCACTCTCAGCATTAATCACAGCCTGAGGTACATTTCTTGGGGAGACAGATTTTCCTGTGACAAATAACTACCATTTTACATTTTCTGAACTGTTGATGGGGAAAAGCATTTTCTGCCCACGTGACTTACTAATAAATCTTCAGATTCTTGAGTGAAACATTTAAAATACAGTTTCTCTGGAAATAAAAGCATGAAGCACTCTAAATTATATGTCTGAGCAGTCAACATCCTTGGGTTCTTCAGAGCACAGTGGAAAAATTGGGTTTACTTAAGGGCTACAGAACCGTGAACATCAAACATCAAAAATTAGTTGTGGAAATACTGTCTCACTTTGTGTTGCGTATTATTAACCTGTCTCTCATTCCACCTTTGGTTCTTTTAAACTAGAAAATTGTAAGTTCCTATTCACTGCACAGATTTATTTGAATGACCAACACCTAGAAAAATGCACCATCTCTTGAGTTTGTCAGTTGCTTTATATTGGCGAGGGTGTTTTGCCACCCTGGTTGTATTTGTTTGCTGTGGAGAAAGGTCACCGGTACTGAAATGCATTCTGGGTTCTGCTGTAACAGCTTTTCTCCTAGCTCTCTACTACTAAGTTGTGCTATCTCATTAGTAAATGCTTGTTTGTTTGTTTGTTTTTCCAGAAACTATTAAGTGGAACACCTTAAAAATATTGCTAATTAGCCCTGGCTGGTGCAGTTCAGTGGACTGAGTGCCAGCCTGTGAACCCAAGACTCGCTGGTTCGATTCCCAGTCAGGGCACATGTCTGGGTCAAGGGCCAGGTCCCCATTAGGGGGCACGTGAGAGTCAACCACACACTGATGTTTCTCTCCCTCTTTCTCTCTTTCTTCCCCTCCGTCTAAAAATAAATAAATAAAATCTTAAAAATATATTGTTAATTATTCTGCATTTCCTAAAATGCTTGTATTTCGTAGTCTTTCTGCTCTTATACATTTGCCTTCCCCACACCAGAGTTTACCACATTACAGAAATCCCAAATATCCATATCTGTGTGGCAGCTAAGGTCTTTTTAGGAAGGATCTTTTTTTTGTTTCAATCATCGCCCAAGGATATGTCCATTGATTTGAGAGAAAGCAAGGGAGAGAGAAAAAAACATTGATGTGAAAGAGAGACATTGATTGGCTGCCTCCCCACACACCCTGCAGTGGGGCAGGGGTTTGACCTGCAACCCAGGTGTGTGCCCTGGCCGGGATCGAACTCGCAACCTTTTGGTAGGTATATGGGACAATGCTCCAACCAACTGAGCCACCCGGCCAGGTCAGGCTTATGAAAGATCTTAATACAATTTTGACAACCTATAAAATGAGCTTTAAAAAAACACAATCACAGTGCTTGACCCTAGCAAGTTCTCAGCACATTGGTCTGCATAGATAGTTTATGTAGCCACACACGCAGCACAGTCATCTCGGTCGTAGCTCCAGATTGCTGCCCTTCACCTTTAGAGCCACCTGTGCCATCCCGCAAAATGTTTTACCCACTTTGCACACAGCACTTCTTTTCAGTAC